TTACAGGCTAAGCCATGGAGCCCGGCCTTTTTTCTTTTTTCTAAATAGAGATGAAGTCTTGCTATGTTGCCCAGGCTGGACTCGAACTCCTGGGTTCAAGTGATTCTCCCACCTTGGCCTCCAAAAGTGCCAGGATTACAGGCATGAGCCACAATGCCTGGTCTCCATAAGCATTTTTTAAATGTCTGCTGTGGTAAGCCCACCATGGAAAAGTGAGGGAAAAGGAAGACATAGGTTGGCCAGGAGATGGGCATTTCCACATGGTAAATGTTTCCCCTTGGACAAGGACAAGAGTTGTGCTGATAATGCTTAGCTTCGGTATAAAATGTACCAGGCACTGGAGAGAATTTCACACGGTCAGCCTGACCTAGCCCCAGAAGTGTTTAATTTCTTACATATGATTATGTTGGGTTGCTCCAGGTTAGAGAATATGTCTGCACCAACAGTAAATTAGCTCTCCATTCTTCTGACAGGCTGTGAGTGATGGCCCCTGTTCTAGGTAACAGCCTCAGGGGGTCCACCTGTCGGCAGACTTGCTTCTGCAGACAGGAGCGGGGAGGGAGGGCCACACCATGCTGCTTTGTTGGATGTTGTCCAACTGCCATCAAGGGCTGACAACAGGGGCCAGGTAGCACCCCCTCCACCAGCAGCCACTGCCTCGTGAGGGCAGACCTGCAACCACATAGCATGTGGCCAAAGACCAGGGGCAGGAGAAGAGGGGGATAGATGCTGGTGCCTTGGATTTCTTCCATTCCTTTTACATCATGACCCCCAATACACAATCTCTTTTCTGCTGTGATAGTGATCTTATGAGACCAGAATGAGCTTTGATGAGCCGTATCCTCTGGCCCAATGTCCTCAGCCAACCTGTGCTCCCCACAGACCCACACGAATCTTATTGAGTACATTGCCTAGGAGTTATGATGATCCGTACTTTACAGAGAAGAAAACTGAGACCATGATACTTAACTCTGGTGTTGGTGAACGAAAGAAAATTGTGACCAGTTAAGGTACAGTGAAGAGGCCAAGGTCTTAGTTGGAAAATGCTAGAATCTTGGGATCAAATATATGAGATCTGACCTTAAGGGGAGGACTAAATGTGGCAGGTTGGAGGCCTGGGCCCACATCCCCTTCCTCCTGACCAACACCCAGAGGGCCTCCTGTCAGAGCCCATGGTGAAGGCGAGCTGAGTATACTCACACCAGACATGCAAGGAAACAAAGAGAACCACAGCTATGTTGGTTGGAGGAGAGAAAACCCCCAATCTGGCCCATCCACAGAGGGCACTGGCAGTCCCCTCCTGCTGAGCTCATGAGCACAATTCCACCTCAACCTTGAACTTTTTCAGAGTAGCAAGTACAGGGGCAGGATAGCATAGTGGCCTAGAGTACAGGCTTCGGAAACCCAGAGACAAGGCTTCAAATCAGAACTCCAGTCTCCAGCTGGCCCTATGCACCTAGAGCTGAGCATATCAACAGAGCAGCCAGCCGCCACCTGAGACTGTTTCAATGCCCAACTGTTAAAATAAAATGAAATTTAAGATGCAGTTCCTCAGTTGCTGTAGCCACATTTCAGGTGCTCACTAGCCACATGCGGCCAGTGGCTGCCATACTGGAAGGTGCACAGGTAGGATGTTCCCATCATCACAGAGAGTACTATTGAGCAATTCTGCTCTAGAGCAATTCATCAAAGCTCTCCATGTCTCAGTTTCCTCTTCTGTAACATGGGCATCATAACAGAAACCTCACAGGGATGAAATGTGATAATCCAATCAACATGGGGCCTGTCCCGTATGAAGTACTTAATAAATGCTAACTAGTCATGTTATTTTTATCTGCTACTCACAATAAGTTTATTCACTTCACTGGGGGGTTATTTTCATCACCCCAAATCACTTCTTGCTTGTAACATTACTAGGCAGAATACAGGTGCTAAATACAGGCTGCTGGTCTAGTGCTAGTCCCATGTGACTTTCTTTACTCTCCACACTTTTGTCTTTCCATCTGTAAATGGGAACATCACCAACTGTCACATGTCCCTCCAAATTATATATATATATATATGGTGTGATGAAGCTCAAGGGAAAAGATGTGAAGGGGTTTGAAAAAAGTCTTTGGAGCTTTCCAAACAGATGAAACTCTTTAGAGAGATGTAGCACTTGGCACCAGGTCGGTACTCAATAAACGCTTGGGTGATGGATATGGGCAGCGGCTGAGAATGCTGCGCTTCAGTTAAGCACACTTCTCACACTCCCTAGCCACCTGCCCCAGTCCGCACACCTGCTTTGGGAGAATGGCTGTGGCCTCAGCAGTTATTCGGTGCAGCGCGGGAGGGGTTGGAGGGGTTGGAGGGGTGGGAGGGACCTAGGGAGCTGGTAAGATTTAGGCTCTGCCGGCACAGACCCTGTCCCCCTAACCACATACCCTGGGGCTGCATTCTCTAATTACCCAGTGCCTGGTTACTGTGGTTCCCAACCAGAAATTGAGATCTGTAGGCTCTTAAAAGCAGGCTCTGTTGGGGTGGGCACCCCAAGAGGGCACTGGGCAGCCAGCCCTGTTACCATAGCGATGGGGGAGAAAGGGTAGGGAGCAAGAGAGGGCGGTGGCTGCACGTAGGCCTCTTTCCACAAGACACTGCCCACTGCCCCCCTCCACCTGCTCCCCACCTTGCCCACAGCTACACTACTGACCACCCTCCCTCAGCCCACCCCTCACCTGCAGACTCCAGGCCTAGGACACCCCCCTCTCCTTGGCAAATGTCGGTGCCGCCCCCTGGTTCCACCCACTCCTACTGCTCTCGAGTCCACTGGACCTTAGCCAGCCACTCTGGACCAAACAGTGCCTTGTAGGGTAAGAAAGTCAGCATGCTCCGCGACAGCCAGAGCCGAGTCTGGACCCACGTGCCTGCCCCTTGGACCCTGGAACCCTCGAGCCAGCCTGACTTATGAGGACAGCTCTTTCGCTGCAATGCCCCAGTTTGAAGGAGGCACAGACCAGCTATGACAGGCTGAGGACACAGGGGCTGGGAAATATGGAGGGGCTGGGGGCTGTGGGACTTGCAAGAGCGGTGTGGAGTTCCCCACGGCACAGACACTGAAGAAAGGGGAAGAGAAGAATAAGGTGCTTCCCAGATCCTCGTGGAAGCCTGAGCTCTCAGCTCTCGTATACAACATCACCCCTTAATAACGCTAACAACTAACATTTGTCTACAGCTTTACAGTTCATAAAGCTCGTTCACACATTTGCTTTCATCCGTGAGGATGGTGTAATTATCTCTGGTTTACAAATGAGGAAACTGAAGCTCAGGGAGGTTCTACATGGCAAACACAGAACTCCCAGTCAAGGGCTGACAGCTGCTCTGCCCCAAGCTGCCGTCCCAACCTTAAAAGGTTCTCAGATGGCCCTGAGCCAGTATGGGGGCGCCCCCCACCACCCCTCGCCAAATCTGAGCCCAAGCCAGGTATTGACCAGAGTCCTGGAGCCAGGCCTGAACCCCCTAAGGAGAGCTGGGAGCTGAGTCAGAGGCCAGATCCCAGAGGTGATGGAAGGACAGAAGCATGCAGTGGAGGGACGGGTGTGATTCAGCGCGGTGGGAGGGGTGAGGAGAAGGAGAAAGCCTGAAACGCGGGCTCCTGGGAGGGATATATAGCTAAGGAAGATGTCTGCCCTTCCACAGCCCAGATGGTCAATACCTGGCTTGGGCTGAGATTTGGCGAGGGGTGGGGGGGGCGCCCCCATACTGGCTTGGGGCCATTTGGGAACCTTTTAAGGTTGGGATGGTAGCTTGGGGCAGAGCAGCTGTCAGCCCTTGATTGGGAGTTCTGTGTTTGCCACATAGAACCTCCCTGAGTTTCAGTTTCCTCATTTGTAAACCAGAACCAAGGGCTCTACTGTAGCACGAGACTGAGACCAGACACCGTCAATAACTCCCTCACTGCGCAGGTGCTGAGGCCTTGGAACATGGCGCACAGGCTCTGCCATCTTGTCTCCTGCATTGCTTCGTGGACGAAAGAAACAGAACAGCTTGTGCTGCTCCCCTCCTGGCATGTCCTGCCCTTCCCATGCCAGTCTAAATCCCAGCCTCTTTCAGGGTGCTAATGGTATCCCAGGGCACTGACCAACACTCGGCTGTCCCCAGTGCTGGAGTCATCTGCCCCACACTGTCCCCCAGCCTCAGTCCTCTGATCCAGGTTTGGTCACTCAATAGTAACCCCCTGAGGGTTGAGTCTGTTTCTCCTCCTGTAACACCCCCTGCCATCCTCACCTCCCCCACCCCCACAGCCCACAGCCCATGTTGTCAGGCCCAGCAACCTGAATGAGTTGAACCGGTTGTGCACACTGTCACTGGGCTAGTTCTGCTTGAACCAGAAAGAAACTGGGCTGAAAACCAAAGTAGTCTGACACCAAGTAAGGGCTTTCATAAAAATAGAAAACAAGGCAGCCTCAGCACTTCCATCCCCTGAGAGGTGCTCTCAGCTGTACCCTCTTTACAGCTTTGGGTTCAACAGAAGGAGGGGGTGGTGGGTTGTGGCACACGAGAGCATCTCTTTTTACTGGGAGGGGAGACTGTCCTATGGAGGAAATGACCTCAGAAGGTTCATGGTTGCTCTTAAACCCTTTGAGCGGAGAGATTCTTTTTCTCGGCAACACAAGAACAATTTGCTTTCCCCACAGGACCCTGTTCAGGGAAATGCCATGGGAGGATGGCATTTAGGGGATGTCTAAAGACAAATTTCACTGACTTCACAAACTGGCCAACCTTGTGTGTGCCTTGGGGATTTGGCCCCTGCCTTGAGGCCAGGGCCATTTAAAATGCTTTTGCCAGAGCTCCCGGCAAATGGGAACAGACTGTACACAGACTGTGCTCGCTGACTGAGTGCCTGAGTTCTGGACTAGGAGTGGGAAGAGGGCAGGAATGGGGCCTGGGCCGATGGCCTCAGAACCACTGGGGAGGGTCATGGCTCACCCCCCACCCAGCCCCAGTCTCGACGGGCTCCCTACCAGGTCTCACAGCCAGTGAGGCAGCACAGCTGGCCTGGCCCAGCTCATTGGTAGCGGTGGCCGTGTAGCTCCCAGCGTCAGCAGCACGGGCCTCCCTGAGCAGCAAGGTGTGCCGCTCACCTTCTGCCCGGAGGAGGAGGCGGCCCTCGCTGCGCAGCGCTGACCCGTCCTTGTGCCAGGACACTGTGGGAGAGAACGGGAACCAGCTCACCACAGCCCATGGGCATCCAAGGGGGAAATCTCACCCCACTCCTCTCACCAGGGAATTCTGAGGAATCTACTCTTACTCAGGAAGTCCAGAGCGCCCTCCCCTCTCTCCTGGGAAATCTCCCTTAACACGGGGGTTCCTAAACCCCGGGCCATGGACCGGTACTGGTCCATGGCCTGTTAGGAGCTGGGTCACACAGCAGGAGGTGAGTGGCAGTGAGCAGAGCTCTGTCTTCTATCATATCAGTGAGGACATTAGATTCTCATAGGGGCATGAACCCTATTGTGAACTGCGCATGTGAGGGATCCAGGTGCACGTTCCTTATGAGAATCTAATGCCTGATGATTCTGCCACCCCATCTATGGAAATATTGTCTTCCACAAAACCGATCTCTGATGCCCAAAAGGTTGGGGACCGCTGCCTTAGCACACACACAAGACACAGCAGCCCCCATGGAGGGGCTAACTCCTGTCCTCCCTGTCCCCTCCCTCAGAAAAGTACAGGGGAACCTCCCCTCTCCTTCTCACATGCCCCCTTCCCACAGCCTGGCCCAGCCCTGTAGCTCACCTTGGGGTGGGGGGTTGGCGGTAATGATACATTTGAGCAGCACATCGGCCCCCGGCGCCACCACCACATTCTGCAGGGGGATCTCAAACATGGGGGCCTCCAGGGGCTCTTCTCCAGCGGACACATAGGAGTCATCTGAAGACTCTGCCGGACACAGGGGTGACAGGGTAAGGGGACAGGATCCCTGTGGGGACAACTCAGGGGGACAGGGAGCACTGGCAGCCCTCATTCCAGAAAGCCAAACTCAGACAGAAGGTTTTCTAGAAGACCAGGGTTGGGGGGCGCAAAAGGTCTCTCTCTTCAATGTCCTGAGACGAGGAAAAAGGGAAGTCAGAACGAGAGTTCTCAAACAGGACAGGGCAGCCTTGACTCCAGGTTAGTTTGGCAGTTCTTCAACTTCACCCACAACTAGTGTTGGTTTCTGAAGGAAGACAGACTTCACGCACATCGGTCATCATGTGTGCTACAACCAGGCCCTATGCAAGGCACTCTGAGGGACACAAGAGTGCACAAGCTTCCAAATAGAGCACAAGCTAGCAGCAACCAAGACTTAAGCAATAAGATTGGTGTCACAGGGCAGCATGCGGTGAATTGTCAAATCCGTGATGCCACCAGATTCAAAAGAAGGAATGCCGGGCAGGTCTGAGAAGTCTATGAAGATTAGCTTTAACTTCATGCATTCACCACACAGTGACCCTGCACTCACTGCACAGTGAGCACTGTATAGGGCCCAGGATGCTACAGGAAATAAGATGTGACCCCTGCTTACAAGAAGTTCGTACACACTAAGAGATAATAAAACTCCATTGTCACGGGTCTCTCTGGGTATTTTCCAACTCTGACATTCTATAAGCTAGATAACGGAAAATGTGGGTAGCCAAAAAAACAGTAAGAATCCCAGTTCTGCTGTTTTCTAGCTACATAACCTTGGGCAAGTGAGATAACCCCTCTGAGCCTCGGTTTTATTATCTGTAAGATGAAGGGGATAAGACCCAACACTTTGGAGAACTAGCACACAGACTGAAGTGAGATAACTACACAATGCTAGGACATGGTTGAGGATATTGCAATCATGGTAGCCAATACGATAATGGACAGGAACCTAATCATCTCTAGAGAGTTTGAGGTGGTAATACTTAAATGCAAAATAATTTTGATAAAGGAAAATACAGAGTAGTAAGTGCAAGGAAAAGATACTGGCAGGGTCTCCCAGGAGCAGTGGGTAGAGGCCTCTAGCCTGGAGGAGACTTCCTCTGCCTCTCTCCAGGAGCAGGCCCCCAGCAGATGCTCAGGTTGAGCATTAGGGCAGGGGCACAGGGGCATTCTCCTGTTGGTGATGCTGGTCCTCACCCATGAGAAGGTTGGGAGACAACATCCAGGCAGGAATGTGTAGGGCCCACAGGCAGCTCGGCCATACAGGGCACAAGGATGGAGTGAGAGCTAGAAGGGGGGCTGGGTCAGATCACAGGGACCATAGATGGGTCAGGGGATGGCACTGGGACAGGAAGGGCAGAATAGGTCAAACCTTGCTTGTAACAGGGTCTTGGCAACTTATTTCAGACCATCTACCATTTCTTCCCTACGGATGGATGAGGGCTGTGGGAGGGGCTTCTTAGACTCCCACCAGCACATGCCCTGCCCTTAGTGGTCCCTGATCCAACAGCCTAGCAGGGTACCAGGACACTACAGGAAATAAGATATGGTCCCTGCTTACATGAAGCTCATACACAGAAAGAGAAAATAATACTTCATTGTCCTGGATCTTTCTGGAGGGCAAAGGTCATCGGCCTGGTCCACCTCCCCTAAGCAGGCCACTAGACCTAGGGGACCTGTGGTAAACATCTGGGCACTAGCCTTTGCTCATATCTCAGTCTCACCTAGCCTCCATCAAAACACAGTCACACTGTCACGCATCAGGGTCAGTACTAGCACAGGGGCCTTGACAAGACTTCAACTCGAGCCTGTGTCCGGAGCCTTCTCTGACAAACCCACCCTCGCGGGCGACTGGCAGCCCCAAGCGAAACCCAGGCTCCTGCTGAGCAGTCTTGCTCTCCCCAAATCCCCTCCCACCTTCAGGCACCTTCTCGGCTCTTACCGAGCTCAGGGGAGGTGGGCCGGGCCCGGCGACCTTTGCCCTGGCTGCGGGCCCCTCGGCGGTCCCAGGCCCCCCAGGGACCGTCTTCCTCCGGCCCTCTGCGCAGCCTCTTCTCGGCCTCAGGCCCCGCCCTGTTCTTCTCCAAGGTC